GAGATGGTACCTATATTTAACAAATGGGGGTATTGATCAACAGGCCTGGTAATCTAGACTTCAATAGTAATTAGTGTTTTAGAACCCAGAACCCAGCTCTGTGCCGCCACTTCTCTGCCCTCTGCAGCCCCCCCCCCCGCCCCAAAACGTGGGGCCTGGAGCGGTTGCCCCAATTTCTACCCCCTGCCCCAGGGATGGCCTTGCTGATACCTATCTTTGAGATGATTGATTTTATAGACCAGGGAGATGGTGCAGTAGATTTCACAGTAAAGAAATATACTGTGCCATGTGGGAAATTATTGGTGAGGCTGAAGAAGATAAGGGTTAGTAGAGAAATGTTAAGGCAGGACTGGGGACATGGCAATGAGTGAATTGAAAGGGTAGGCATGGGACTGGAGGGGGAAAGTAATAGTGGACTTGGTCCGCCCAAGGATTGATCTTGGGACTGATCTGTAGTATTTTAATGACCTGGGTATAAAAAGTAGGAGTGTTTTGAAGAAACTTGCTGATGTTTGAGAGGGGCAGAGAACAATGCACAGGAGGCTCAAAATATCATACAGCATGAACTAGATGACCTTAAACTGCAGTAACAGAAATGAGATGGAATTCAGTTGTACGAAAGGCAGGGCTGTGCATTTATGCACTAATAGCAAGAAATTGTTCTGTAAGGGGCCTTGGTAGGGGACAGAACAGGAAGTAACTAGCTTAAATTGCAATCAAGGAGACTAGAAAGAGCTTCTTTACCAAGAAAGTAGTTCAGTGCTAGAACTGTTATTTAGAAAGGTTATGGAAGCTTTTTAAGAGTAGTTAAGCAAACTTTTGTCTGGGATGGCTTGAGCGGGGTGGGAGGAGGGATCCTGCCTTTGGTGGGGAGTTGGGGTAGATGCCATTTTGGGGTTGCTTGCAGCTCTGTTTTCTTTGTTCCAAGCTGGGAGTTCAAAGGTTGGAAATAAGTGAGGAAGAGAAGGGCATGTGTTGTTCACAGAATGATTGAGCTGCCAGTGTGATGCAGCCCTAAAAAGGCAAATGTGATCTATCAGTTGGTGCATTTGCAGTAGAGATAAGGCAGTATAACTGCTGTATTAAAGGCACTGCAAAATAATGTGGAAATACTGTATGATTCTAGTTTATCATTCAAGAAAGTTAGATCATTCATTCTAACTGGAATGCATGTGCAGAACAGTTGATTATTGAAGTAATTGATAGGCTAGTCTGTCACTTCAGAGGAGACTAAAAAAGTTTGGATATACTTGCTTTCTATAGATACATTACAGAAGTAAATATTAGGCAGGGAGAAAAGTTATTTAAGTTATAGGATAAAATTGGTACAAGTACTAAAGCATATAGAATGGGCATAAGTAAATTAAAGCTTGAAATTAGAATGCCCTTGACCTTTAAAGGTTGTGGAGTATTCATAACTGGTGGCTGGGGGCTGGGCTTGGTGATCCAGTGGGTCCTCTCCTGTACCAACAGCTTCCCTGTTTGCAACACACATTTTAGTAGCAGAGCATGTTGCCTGGTTCAGGATTAGTTATCCTGTGATTGTGCTGCTTGCAGGTCGAGTACAGGGAGATGGATGAAAGTCTTGCAAACCTCTCTGAAGATGAATATTACTCTGAGGAGGAAAGAAATGCTAAAGCTGAGAAAGAAAAAAAGCTGCCGCCACCACCACCACCACCACCTCCAGAGGAAGAGAATGAGAGTGAGCCAGAAGAGCCATCTGGTGAGTGAAGAGAACTCTTGACAGGGTAGCAATTACACTGTCAGTCGTTCAGAAGTGGCATCATGACCTTGAGGTTCAGATCAGGTTGGATAGAGGAGTTTGCCCTGTGAAACTGTCTTTGGTTCATATGTAGAAAGAGGCTAAAGAAATGCACAAGAATAGCTTAATATAAGACTAGAAGCAAGTAGTTATGGGTGTAATAAAATTGCAAACTGAGAAGAATCTTAACACTAGGATATTTTCTATCCTAACAGGCTTGCCTGTATTAAAAAAAATCTCTGCTAAAATAGCTGCTATTTCCTGTAGCACTTAGACTGGCTCATATGCAGATGTCCACTTTGTCTTCAATGGGAAAAGATGCCAGGAATTACTGGGTGAATTCTATGACCTGTACTATATAAGAGGCCAGACTATTTTAATAGTGGCTCCTAATGCCTTAGTTGTGACTCTGTTTTCTTATCTCTGGCCCACTTTAGGAAGCAAAAATTGGGATAGGTGTACACTTCAGTTTTGTATTTGTGAGAGTATGTAGTTGCTTTATGTACCCTCTGTCATTCTGAACTCTCAGAAAATTGCTCTATAGCCTTTTCTATTTTTTGTGGTGGTATTGGTATTCTACATGATTCGCATCCCTTGTCTATGCACCAAAGCAATTTTGTGTTGCTATATATGACTTCAGAAAACTCCTTGCATGGGCTTCATGTACAGAAGAGATAATGGCCTTAGATGTGTAGTTGCTCTTGGTTTTAAATTTCAGCTTTGTTTTACTTTACTTTATATCATGGCAGTTAATTGCTAGGACAAAGAATATTTTGTTTCCCACTTGTATTGCTCTTAATCTGCTTCCCTTTGGACAGGACTGAGCATGTGTACCAGTGAGGTTTCAATTTAACATTTTCAGTTTGACACTAGTTTGCTGGAGAATATTGGCTTTCGACATTTACTGAAGCTGTAGGCATAATTTTGTGTGCCTTGTCTAGCAGAGCCTGAACCCTGAAAACTTTCTTTTGTGTCATTAGAACGTGCTCATTCTTGATGCACAATACAAGAATTTTTTACCCTCATATTATATGTAAGTTACTGATGAAGAGTTTTAAAATGACAGAGCCCTTGCTTCTTTCATTAGAGCCAATCTCTGCCAAAAATGATGCTTTAAAATGAGTATTTAAGCCACTACCTTGAGCACAGTGCATGGATATATTAAATTAATACATTTCGCGTGGTTGATTGTTATTCTTAGACACGTGGCTTAGATGTATATGGCTTGTGGATACTTTTGGGGCAACAACTAGAGTAGTACTCACAATTTTCATATAATACAGAACCAAGAACACTGAAAGTTGTCAGTTAAACTGAGATAAACCCACCTATAGATAAATGTCTTAAGTGAATTAAATGCTGGGCTCTTGGCATTGTATTCTGCCAAGATCTGTCTATCATGTTTTAAAAATGCTGGATTCTAGGCTGTTTTGTCCTTCCTCCTTTATCAAACTTCTGTAATATGAAAGAAAAAGACATGCTGTGCATATGAAAAATGGCTGTTTGTAATTTGAAGGGTTCTTTCCATATTTTGGGCTTTCTTTTCTCTTAAATTTCTGAAATAAGCCATACACTGGTAAGCGCATATCCCTTTCTCTATTTGCTAAAGTATAGCCATCAAACCGCAAGCTAATCTGCAATTGATCTGTTAGGCTAGACTTCAGTTTTCATCCAAGCAATACTACCAGCAGAAGCACAAGCTCCACTTCATGTTCTACTAATGTTTTTTCAGTATAGAGACACCCCATGACAATGAATTTTGCCTCTCACCTGATTCTTTTTATTGAAAATATGAATTTCAAAATTGAATTAGGAATGTTATAAAAACTAGCAGCGGTGCTGATGGAGATTACCGCACTCTGAGGGTATTGCACATCTAAAATCAGACAAGGGAAGCTAATTTCTGCATTGCTATAAAATTGGCTATATTGGGTGCCCTGCATTTTATCTTGCTTAAAAATATTTTAAGTTGTCAACACTGCATGTAGCATGGAAGAGACTAGAAAATATGAGAGATGTGAAGTTGGTGAGTTTGTTGCAAAGAAGTTTGGATTTTTTATAATTCTTACACCCTAACAATTATTTTTGTTTAATAATGGAGACTACTTTGCATTCTTAGCTACTGTGCAGTAGCTGCTGTTCTTTTGAATCTACCTTCCCATGAGCAAAGTCAGCTAATATTCTCCATCAAATAATAACACAACTTACAAGGTAGCAAACATTTATTGCTTCTAGGTTGATTTGGGTATGCTGAACAAGGAGACTCTTTGAAAGTTCTGATTGTCTAGCCTGGTATAGCACTCCAGAGTTGCACGGTTTACTAGACAAGACTTAGTGTTGCAAAAGAGCTTTCAGGGGTATATTATTAATATATTGTAAAATTTATTTGAATTATGAAATATGAAGTTTAATGTTAAGTTCCCTCCAGAGTAGGGAAACCTGTTCTGTCTTCCTTTCCAGTTAGAAAGAACCCTCTAGGACACCACTTCCCTCCTTCCACTCCAGTTATTGCTCTTTAATTAAATTTAAGTTCATGGCTACCAACATCTCCTTATAAATTAAGCAGCTAGCCTCTCTCCTAAGAATTTTTTAATGCATTCACCAACTTGTATTTTAATACTACTATGCCATTTTCTGAAGCCATTCCTCTAGCCCCATCCATTTGTCTAATTTTCTTCCATCCTTGGTTTGTGATTAGCAGTGTTATTTCTTACTGGACCAAGGTTAACCTTATGCCTCCTCAGAAATCAGTGAATTGATATGCTAACACCAACTTATCATGCGAGCCCTCTGTTTCATTTGATTTATCTCCTTTTAAAATTTAGTCCTAAGGTGTAGTCATCTTGTACTACTATTCCACTGCCTTTACTTTGAAGCATTGGGGGACTGGTACCTCCGCTGGTATTTCTCTGGTGTTGAATGGTAACAAAATTAAGTGGATTTTTTGTCTTTTGACTTTCTCCTGACTACAGTTCAGTGTCAGGTGTGTAATTACAGTCTGACCAATAGTACTACAAACATGCAGGATAAAACATCAGCTTGGATATGTGGCTTTACATGCAAGACCCCTTATGAAGAAGTTTTACAATTGGTTGCTATGAAGTACTATCCATCCACACTGTAGGTTAGTCTGGCCAGTCACATTTGATGCTTGGTAAATTGCACCGTGTATGATGCAGGGAAAGCCAGCTTATGTGTCTCATTGGCAGTGGCAATGGCTAGTCTGCATACTGGAAGTGTTGAGTAGATGGATGGATGTGAAAAGTACTTTCACTTCTTCCTTAGAGTGTTTTTAATTGCTACTTTATCAATAGCCTATAGGTGCATAATCTCTGATTTTGCTGGAGCTGATGCTATTGTACTGCTCTACCAGTAGGTTTTTATGAGGAGGGATCCCAGTGTCTTCTCCGGAGTCTTTTGAGGACTGTGGAGATTTATGGGTATTTCATCCTTAGGTTTCTGGCCTATGTTTCCTGAGATTGTCAGGAAGGTTAGTTAGTTAAGTGTCCGTAGCATTTGTAGGGGGAGCAGAGGCCAGATTCCTTTCATTTAATCTCCTCAGTCATTGGGCGTGAGCCTCATGCATGCTGTCAGCCTCATAGCAGATAGTTCTGACCTTGCTTGAACATGCCTGTCAACTCGTGCTGCAGCATAGCAGCTAGGGAGTCATGACCCTGGTGTTGGAAAAGCACTGACTAGAGCTGTGTTCCATGTTGGATGAGTCCAAGGGCAGAATGCCAGAGGAGGAAGATATGAGAGAGTCCATGGAGGATGGCTTTCTCTGAGCTTGCTTGCAGACTGTTTAATGTAACTTCTGGGTCAGAGACATGGGAGTGAACTGGTGCGAGCAGATGATGCTGAGGACCTGCAATAACTAGCAGTGGCAGCAAAATGTCTGAATGGCCAGGTAGACAAGACATTCACTGAGATCTGTGCTAAACTGGTCCAGTGGCAGAACTCTAACGTGAGGCCCATAAGCAGGTGAGAATAGACACATGGAAACTTTAGTCTTTGATTGGTGACAAAACAAAGGTTTTCGCTTCAATACAGCCAAATTTATGGCTGGATCAGCCATCTGGAAGGTATTCTGCACCATCCAGAGGGTGTTGTCATGAAGCTTTAACTTTGCATTGCTCCATTTCTGTGTATGAGGCTTTTTAATTGGGTCAGGGTTGCATGCACACCTCTATCCTGTGCCCAGCATGTCATGGCGCAAAATACCTTGATTGCAAGTCTTACTTTTCCAATTGCTGCACAGTATGGTAGACAAGCAGGAAGATTCACACACTTGACTAGCAGGTGATCAGGAAGGGTCCTGGACAGTAGGGTCTTCTAAAACTCTTACTCAGGGATCTAGCCTATCTTTTCCTCCCATGGCTTGTGAAGCCCTGTACTAGACAGCAGGCGTGCATCCAGATAAGTGCAGACATTTGTTTCCCTGGGGACAAGTAGCAGCAGGCCTTGTGCCACTGCTGCTTGTTCCAGGGAACGCCCATGCCACATGTGCTCTGGCACACACCAGGTTACCCCAGGTAGGGCAGGGGAGGCTGGGACCAGCAGCTTTGCTGGCTCCAGAAGCCTTACTTGAGGCTCTGGGGGCCTTGGGGAGCCAGAGTGTGGCTCTGGCTGGCCAGGCTCTGGTTTTGGGCAACTTGCATTGCTGCCACGTGTGCCCCCCCGCTTTTTTTTTTTTTTTTTGGCATGCGCTTTTTTGACTGGGATCTCTCAGGGTCAAGCCCCCCCCCTCCCCCCTTCCCACGCACTGCAACATAGTAGCATGGGAAGTGTGCAGTGTTTTCCATGTCCAGGCTCCTCTGGTTACGCCCCAGGATGCCAGAAAGGAGTTCATTTACTGGCTAAACACCTGTCATTTGACAGTTACACCTTTGGGCACCTTGAGGGCTGATGGAGGGCACTGAATGCCCCATGTATTTTTTTTTGGGGGGGTGGGGGGGGTGTTG